AAACAGGGAATCCTTTCCCCATTGCTTATTTTTGTCAGGTTTGTCGAAGATCAGATGGTTGTGGGTATGTTGTATTTCATCTGAGACCTCTGTTCTGTTCCATTGGTCTATATCTCTGTTTTGGTACCAGTACCATGCTGTTTTGATTACTGTAGCCTTGTAGTATAGTTTGAAGTCTGGTAGTGTGATGCCTCCTGCTTTGTTCTTTTTGCTTAGAACTGACTTGGCTATGCGGGCTCTCTTTTGGTGGGAATGTAAATTAATTCAACCATTGTGGAAGACAGTGTGGCGATTCCTCAATGACCTAAAAATAGAAATCCCATTTCACCCAACAATCCCATTACTGGGTATATATCCAAAGGACTATAAATCATTCTATTATAAGGACACATGCACACGAATGTTCATTGCAGCACTGTTCACAATAGCAAAGACCTGGAACCAACCAAAATACCCAACGAAGATAGACTGGATAGGAAAAATGTAGTACATATACACCATGGAATATTATGCAGCCATCAAAAATGATGAGTTCACGTCCTTTGTAGGGACATGGATGGAAACCATTATTCTCAGCAAACTGACACAAGAGCAGAAAATCAAACACCGCATGTTCTCACTCATAGGTGGGTGTTGAACAATGAGGACACATGGACACAGGGAGGGGAGCACTACACACTGGGGTCCGTTGGGGGGAAATGGGGTAGGGATGGGGGGATGAGGGGGTGGGAAGAGATAGCATGGGGAGAAATGACAGATACAAACGGGGGATGAAGGCAGAAAACCACACTGCCACATGTGTACCTATGCAATAATCTTGCATGTTCTTCACATGTACCCCAAAACCTAAAATGCAATTAAAAAAGTAAAAAAAATAAATATATATATTCACCCAGAATTTACAAAGAACTAAAACAGATCTACAAGGAAAAAACAAGCAAGCCCATTCAAAAATGGACGAAGGATATGATCAGACACTTTACAAAAGAAGACATACAGGAGGCCAACAAATATATGAAAAAATGCTCATCATCACTGGTCATTAGAGAAATGCAAATCAAAACTACATTGAGATACCATCTCACACCAGTTAGAATGGCGATCACTAAAAAATCTGGAAACAACAGATGCTGGAGAGGATGTGGAGAAATAGGAACACTTTTACACTGTTGGTGGGAATACAAATTAATTCAACCATTGTGGAAGACAGTGTGGTGATTCCTCAAGGACCTAAAAATAGAAATCCCATTTGACCCAGCAATCCCATTACTGGGTAGATATCCAAAGGATTATAAATCATTCTACTACAAGGACACGTGCACACGAATGTTCATTTCAGCACTGTTTACAATAGCAAAGACCTGGAACCAACCCAAATGCCCAATGATGATAGACTGGATAGGGAAAATGTGGTACATATACACCATGGAATATTACGCAGCCATCAAAAACGATGAGTTCACGTCCTTTGTAGGGACATGGATGAACCTGGAAATCATCATTCTCAGCAAACTGACACAAGAGCAGAAAATCAAACACTACATGTTCTCACTCATAGGTGGGTGTTGAACAATGAGAACACATGGACGCAGGGAGGGGAACACTACACACTGGGGTCGGTTGGGGGAAAATGGGGGAGGGACAGGGGAATGGAGGGGTGGGAAGAGATAGCATGGGGAGAAATGACAGATACAGGTGAGGGGATGGAAGGCAGCAAATCACACTGCCATGTGTGTACCTATGCAATGATCTTGTATGTTCTTCACATGTACCCCAAAACCTAAAATGCAATAAAAAAATAAAATAATATAATATATATATACATATATATATACATATATACATATATATATTTTTTTTTCACCCAGCCTCGCCTAAATTTTAAAGGCATCAGAAGTTCTATTCTGCCATGGGCTTAAAAAGACGAAAGTCAGGAATATTCCTTAAGTGGAATTTGAGGCTACTACAACTTCCATGCTTCACTTTTGTGAGCATTCCATTTTTACCTATAAATAAACCTATTCTTTGATTTGTATGAAAGCTTTTGTCTGACAAACACTGATCTCCTGAATGAAAGAAAGTGGTTTTTCTTTCTTAATATTTGTATTTAGCAAGAAAATATATAGCATCTCTGCTAGGACAGGTGTCCTTATTTTCCAGTCCATAGAAAATATTCAATTCAACTGAGTCTATTCTATCAACTCTATTCTATTCCATAGAATCTGATCCAATAATTAATATTAGCAGAATCAAAAAAGGACCAAAGCTTTTATAATTACAGAAAACTGATCCCTTGATATTCACTACTGCTTGTCATCAATCTGCACGATGACACACATTTACAAAAAAAAAAAAAAAAAAAAAAAAGGAGAGAGAGAGAAATTTAGTCTTTATCCTAACAGGTGACACTACAGTACTCACTGAGCCCAAGAAATAAGCTCCTCTTCCAATAAATACCCTTTTCTGGGGATAGCCATGTGATATGGTAGAATGAATCCAGGATTAAGGGTTAAAAAAGCTTGAATTTCATTCCTTGCTGTATCACTAACTATGGAATCTTGAGCAAAATGGCTTACTTCTCTTTGCCTTTTTCTCTCTGTGAAACCAGAATAAATAAAATGCTTTAAACATGGAAGACTTGTAATACAATTTTGTATGGTTCCTCCATCCTTTCCTTCCTTAACTTTCCTTTAACCGAAATAGCACTTTATACTATTTACACAATTATACTCTTTCTTTGTGATTTTCATTTCTTGATAATAATATTTGCAAATATACAAATGAGATGACATTGTTAAGAAATAAGTAATTCTGTTTACTATAACCCTTGGCAATCCTGTATCAGATACTATATCAAATGAAAATCCATTTTAGAGATGAAGAAACTGAAACTTCAACATAGATTAATCAATTCCTACTCTTTTCTACCTCACCAGGTAGTAGGGATGATGAAATTTAGCAATTTAAGCCATAGCACTGTAAATGGCAAAGTACTATTTCCTCACAAATCATAAATCCCTTTCAGGCAGAATCTATATTTATTTTACCTGCTCATTCCCATAGAATCAAGTTCAGCACCAGGTAATGGTATGAGTTTGAGAAGCAAAAGTGCCTTTAAGAACTCTCTTCCTTGCTCAAGAATGCATGGAGACATATATATTAAAGTAATGTTTTAGCAACCTGTATACTTACAAAGAGTATGGTGAGCCAGCATGATTAATGGCAACAGCAATCTTTTTTTATTTTTATTTATTTTTATTTTTTTGAGGAAATATTAGTTTCACTCTTGTTGCCAGGCTGGAGTGCAATGGCAACATCTCTGCTCACTGCAACCTCTGCCTCCCTGGTTCAAGTGATTCTTCTGCCTCAGCCTCCCAAATAGCTGGTATTACAGGCTCCTGCCACCATGCCCGGCTAATTTTTTGTGTTTTTAGTAAAGATGGGATTTCACCATGTTGGCCAGGCTGATCTCAAACTCCAGACCTCAGGTGATCTACCGACCTCAGCCTCCCAAAGTGCTGAGATTACAGGCATGAGTTACCATGCCCAGCCAAAAATAACAATCTTTAGTCACACACACACACACCTGTATTCAAATTCTGGTTCTGCCACTAAAATCTCGGTGTTCTTGGGCAACATGAACTTGATTTTAGATTGAAAAGAGTAAATAAAATAATTTATATAAGATACTTTGTATAGCTTTTGGAACACAGTGGAACACAATAAAAATAAATGGTAGAACTCATCCTTTCCATGATTATTTTAGAATTGTGTGATATATGTGGAAGGAATTGACATAAGGCACGAAAGCAAGGCATTCATAAATGGTGATAGATTCACAATTATATGCAATATTGGATTCGCGATTATTTCCTTTCTTCCTGTTCCAGGATGTCTATATTCTTGCATTTTGTATGTAAGTATTGATAGTTTCTTAATATTTAGCTCAGATGGTTGAGGAAGGAAGATTTATACAGCTGTCATAACTAAAATTTATTCACAGAGATTAAGGAAACTACTTGTAGAACCACTTGACTTACATGAACCAAAAAAAAAAAAAAAAACAAGCCGAGAACCTCAAAAAGGAAAGAAGAAAAATCTTTACTTTTTGGGCATCCACTTAGAACATAAATTACCTATGCAAATTCATTCTTTAGGCAGAAATTCTGTATTAAATTGCTTCAGGTTCTTTAAAAACCTGTGTCACCTATATTCAACCTTGGAATTTTTTCCATTTCAGTGAGTCCTCTACTTTCTGAAGGAGAAAACACCCACATAGGGTGGGATAGAACTACTAAAGATATTTTGGTTCAGTCTCCTGCCTGGGAGCAGGTGTTGCACTGAAATTGTCTATCCAAAATCCCAAATCATAGTATTTCAGGCTGATTATAAACAAGATAATTTTCAGTTGACCTTTGTTTTTTGTTGTTGTTGTTGTTGTTGTTGTTGTTGTTGTTACTTTTGTTGGCTGACTATTAAAAGCATCAAATGGAAATGTGTAAAGCATTAAAGTAAGAAGACAAGCATCAGGTCAGGAAAGCTGATTAAGTCACCTCTCCTTTAGGGTCTTCAGTGTAGGACTGGGGGCTCCCAGGGAAATTTGTACAAAACATTTTCTTCCTTTGTATTCAGGCAAGAGAAGGTTATAATAAAGACCCAAGATTTAGGGGTCATGTAGGACAAAGATTCTGGAATCACATGGTTCCAGTGTCAGCCCTGATTTTGCCCATCACTAAGTCTATGACTTTAAGGGAAAGTCACCTAACATCTGTTGTCTGACTTATTTATTACTGACTTCCCCCAACCTTGTACCATTTCTAAAATATAATAATGCTGATTAGCTACTTTTTAATGTAGCAAATGAGTGAACATATAAAATTTATTCTTCCCCTCTGTAATGTGGAACAATAATTATTTCTTCCTTATAAGAAATAATGAGAAAGGCATTGCACCCAAACCGAGATGGGGTGAAGCCTCCTCAACTATGACCTCAACCGGCCATGATTCCACCACAACCAAGCAGTGAAGAAGTAGGCAGAACCCCCAGTGTCACTTCAAAGCCAAACATTAAAAAGGGAGCAGTTCCCTGCTCCATCCTCCGTCTAGCGCAGGTAAAAAAGAAAGGCAAAATAAAGAAGCTTAGCCAAGCAATTGAAGATCTCTTCGTGGGACTGCAAGGGATGGATCTGAACCTTGAGACTGAAGCACTGGTTGGCACTGGCTTAGTGTTGGATGAGCAGCTAAATGTATTTCATTGTCTCTGGGATGATAGCTTCTGGGAAAGCCTTGAGCAGCTTCATGCCATCAAGGAGCAACTGATCCAGGAGGGCCTCCTAGATCGCTGTGTGTCCTTTCAGGCCTGATTTACTGAAAAGGAAGAGCTGATGTTGAATATACTGATAGATATATTGGTATGTATCTATCAGCCTAGAATATATTGATCTAATGGAAACAACGCAGTACATGAATAAGGGAGAATTCCGCGTCCTACCAGACACCTATGACTCAGTTTGTTTTCATCTGAACTTATACTCCTGTGCCTGCCTGGCCTCGGGCTCTGTCATCAGGCTGGTGGATGTGGTCCTGGGGGCTGAAATCTGGAATGGCATGGCATCATTAGGCTTCCTGGACATCATGCCCAGCACAGTCTTATGGACAGCTATTGCATATTCAGTCATGTGGCTGTGGTAGCCCTCTACGCTCAACAGAAACACCACATCTGGAGGGTCTTTAAGGTGGATTGGGATGTGCACCACAGTCAAGGAACACAGTTCACCTTCAACCAGAACCTCAGTGTCCTCTATTTCTTCATCCACCGCTACGAGCAGGGTAGGTTCTGGCCCCACCTGAAGGACTCTAACTGGTCCACCACAGGTTTTGGCCAAGGCCAAGGATATACCATCAATATGCCTTGGAACCAGGTGGGGATGAGGGATACTGACTATATTGCTGCTTTCCTTCACATCCTGCTGCTGGTCATCCTTGAGTTCCAGCCTCAGCTAGTCCTGGTGGCTGCTGGATTTGATACCTTGCAAGGGGATCCCAAGGGTGAGATGGCCGCCACTCCAGCACAGTTCACCCAGCTAACCCATCTGCTCATGGGTCTGGCAGGAGGCAAGCTGACCCTGTTTTTTGAGGGTGGCTACAATCTCCACATCCTGGCGGAAGGCATCAGTGCTTTGCTCCACACCCTTCTGGGAGACCCTTGCCGCATACTGGAGTCCTCTGGTGCCCTGCTGCCGGAGTGCCCAGGCTTCAGTCTCCTGTGCTCTGGAAGCCCTTGAGTCCTTCTGGGAGGTTCTTGTGAGATCAACGGAGACCATGGAGGGGGACAACGTGGAAGAGGACAATGTAGAGTAGAGTGAGGAGGAAGGACCTGGGAGCCCTTGCTCCCAATCCTGACATGGCCAGTGCTACAGTCTCACACAGGGCTGGTCTCTGACCAAAGTATGATGAATCACTGCAACTTGTGGGACAGCCACCACCCCAAGGTACCCTAGCGCATCATGAGGATCATGTGCCGTCTGGAGGAGCTGGGGCTTGCTGGGTGCTGCCTCACCCTGCCATGGCACCCCACCACAGACGCTGAACTGTTCACCTGCCACAGTACTGAGTACGTAGTGTATCTCCAGGCCACAGAGAAGATGAAAACCCAGGAGCTGCACCGTGAGAGTTCCAACTTTGACTCTATCTACAACTGCCCCAGCACCTTCACCTGTGCACAGCTTGCCATTGGCACTGTCTTCTGCCTGGTGGATTCTGTGCTCTCAGGAGAAGTTCTGAATGGTGCCGCTGTGGTACATACCCCAGGACACCACGCGGAGCAGGACGCAGCTTGTGGTTTCGCTTTTCAACTCCATGGCTGTGGCTGCTCGCCATGCTCAGGCTATCAGTGGGCATGCCTTGCAGATCCTGATTGCGGATTGGGATGTCCACCATGGTAATGGAACTCAGCACATGTTTGAGGATGACCCCAGTGTGCTATATGTGTCCCTGCACCACTACGATCGTGGCACCTTCTTCCCTATGGGGGATGAGGGTGCCAGCAGCCAGCTTGGCCGGGCTGCAGACACAGGCCTCACCATCAATGTGGCATGGAATGGGCTCCTCATACGTCATGCTGACTGCTTAGCTGCCTGGCATCACCTGGTACTTCCCACTGTCTATAAGTTTAACACAGAACTGGTGTTGGCTTTGATGCTGCACGGGAGACCTGCAGGGGAGCTGCCAGGTGTTACCTGAGGTTTATGCCCACCTCACCCACCTGCTGATGGTCCTTGCCAGTGGCCACATCATCCTTATCCTAGAGGGTGGCTATAACCTGACAGCCATCTCAGAGTCCATGGCTGCCTGCACTTTCTCCCTCCTTGGAGACCCTTACCAGTGCTCACCCTGCCAGGACCCCCACTACCAGGGTTCCTGGCCTCAATCACTGAGACCATCCAAGTCCGTCATAGATACTGGCCCAGCTTACGGGTCAGGAAGGTAGAAGACAAAGAGGGACTCTCCAGTTCTAAGTTGGTCACCAAGAAGGCACCCCAACCAGCCAAACCTAGGTTAGCTGAGTGGACAACCACATAAGAAAAGAAGGTTCTGGAAGCAGGCATGGGGAAGGTCATCTCGGCATCATCTGTGGAAGAGTCAACTCTAGGCCAGACTAAGTCGGAGCCAGCTGTAGTGGCACTCACTCAGGACCAGTCAGTCCTCAGAGGCAGCCATGGGGGGGAGCCATGCTGGCCCAGACCATCTCCAAGGCAGCCATTGGGGGAGCCATGCTGGGCCAGACCACCTCAGAGGATGCTGTTGGGGGAGCCGTGCTGGGCCAGACTACCTCAGAGGAGGCTGTAGGAGCTACGCTGGCCCAGACCACCTCAGAGGCAGCCAATCAGAGAGCTGCACTGGACCAGACTACGTCAGAGGAAGCTCTAGGGGGCACCGAGCTGATCCAAACTCCTCTAGCCTCGAGCACAGACCACTAGACCTCCCCGCCATCCTCACCTGTGCAGGGATCTACACCCCAGATATCTCCCAGTACATTGATTGGCAGTCTCAGGACCTTGGAGCTAGGCAGCAAATCTCAGGGGACCCCAGAATCTCAGGCCCCAGGAGAAGAGAACCTACTAGGAGAGGCAGCTGGAGGTCAGGACATGGCTGATTAGATGCTGATGCAGGGATCTAGGGGCCTCACCAATCAGGCCATATTTTATGCTGTGGCACCAATGCCCTGGTGTCCCCATTTGGTGGCAATTTGCCCCATACCTGCAGCAGGCCTGGACAGTGACCCAACCTTGTGTGGACTATGGAACAATCCAAGAGAATTGGGTATGTCTCTCTTGCCATCAGATCTACTGTGGTTGTTACATCAATGCTTACATTTTCTGACACCACGGAAACTCTGGACATCCGCTAGTCCTCAGCTACATCCACCTGTCGACCTGGTGTTACTACCGTCAGGCCTATGTCCACCACCAGGCTCTCCTAGATGTGAAAAACATTGCCCACCAGAACAATTCTGAGGAGGGTATGTCCCACCCACACCAAACCCCAGAATACGCTCCCTCTTCACCTTCTGAGGTCCACGGTAGACCAGCTGTAGCTCATTCCAGCCTGTACCTTGGATGAGGGGTAACCTCCCACTGCATTCCATCCTGAATATCCTTTGCAACTCCCCAAAATTTCTCATCTAAGTCTTAATACTTTTAAGAGAGCTGCGATGATTAATTGTGGATCTCCCTATGCCCATTGCCTGCTTGAGAGGCACCACTACACTAGCCCAGAAGGAAAGGGGGGAAACTCAGTGGCCCGAAGAGGGAGCTGATATCATGAGGATAACATTAGCTGGAGGGGAGTTAACTGGCAGGCATGGCAAGGTTGCATATATAATAAAGCACAAGCTGTTCCCAAAAATAAAGAAAGAAAGAATAAAAATGAAATGTGCTGTAAAAGGTATACCTAGCAAAAGAAAAGGAGGGTAGTGGCAATGCTATGTAAGAAGACTTGTAATTTGAAGAAGGGTAGCTCATGTAGTTGGCTTTGGGAAGATGGACTGGCTGGTGGCGGTTGGACAGAACATTGAACTACATACAGTAACTTTAGTGTTCTTCCACTTACTAATTAAACTGTAATTCGTTCATCTTTAAAGTAGGGATAATAATCACACCTTTCTTATAAGTTTTCTATAACAATTTTTTAAAACTTCAGGTAAAGTACCTTGAATAGAGACTACACAGATGCATAATAAACTCTCAATAAATATGAGTTATTACTACCATTATTTTTATCTTGAGCTCTGAGGGGTAATCCAGAAGACAGCCTCACACATCAGCATCCTATGGAGACTTCCTTCACTAAATACAGCCCAAACTCACAACCTGTTCCTTGGACTGTCTGCACTTCATAACTGCTCAATATAAGGGTAGAAACTAGACTTGGACTTCTGATTCTTAACTTGAGTCAATGCTGAAGGATCATCCAGTCTTAGTGCTCCCCAGAGGATTGGTTGAGGCTTCTGATGAGGCTGCATCACTAATCTTTACTTATTGCATTTCCCTGGGAACCTAATCTACCACATTATTATAATTCAAAATGTCTGTCACCTCTACATCAGTCCCCAGCAGGAACAAACTTCAGAAAGTCTAAATGTCATTCAGGCAACGTGGAATAAGCCATTGATCCATTTTTCTGCTTTCTGGTCTATTTCCTGTATATCTGAATCTCGAACACCTCCCTCTTGCTTCCAATCTATAATGAAATTCTTAGAAATATTCTTGACAGAAAGTCATATTTTATTCAATTCTCCCTATACTTGTTCCCCAGTCATTTAATTTCTAAGAAAGGGAAAGTCAAACTAATTTTTGAAATTGACTAATGAAATAATCATATATAGAATGAGTAATTCCTCACATACACCTTTATTCTAATATTAGCATGTTTCCTGACCTATTGTGTCAAGATCTTATTGGTTAAATGCTCAATGATTGTCAGCTCTCATAAATGTACCTGTTGTTTAGAGATGGTATTTCTAACTTGAGGAATATATTACAAAGTAATTGTAAAATGACTGAGAATTTTACAAGAGATTTCATAAAATGGATGAAAGTAATGAAATAATCTTGGAAAAGGCCCCAATTCTCATAAAAGTGTCGATTGATAAGAAGATGGAAGGGTTAAACCAGACAGCCATTGAGGAAAAGACAAACTACAAAGATAAACTAAAGTATCTCCAGGGAGAATAATGTGATTGTTAAAAGATTAAGAAGAGACTTTTGAAAAATGAGTGAAGTGCTAAATACTTTTGAAAACAGTAAGTACTTTAAGGTAATGCTATAAAAGGAAACAGTACTTTCCTTAAGGTAATGCTTAC